TAAATATAAATATTAGATAATATTTACACGGTGAGGTGAAATCTAAGACTGAATTCCATAAGTTTCAAATCTTGGATTGAGGAAAATAAATACAGACCACGACTTAAAATAAAAGTTGCAGTGTTTACAAGTATAATTCATTAGAAACTGAAACAAAATATCCTCTTGTATTCTTCGATCCAGAACATTTTAAATAATTATTTTATTTAATGAGTGTATTATGCTATGCTATGAGCTTACATCCGATATAGGTAATGGGTCTATTGTTATTTGTATTCTCATCGCAAAACCGTTAAGTCTTCGTTTTCTGACAACAAAATCAACAAATGCAACAAAATGACCGCGACTACTATTACTAGTGGGAACTATCATGATGGCCATATGATTCCTAAAACATTTACCTACCCTATAATCCTGCTAGTTTTTTCCTATGAAAGAAAAACAATAATGCTGCATATCTTATATTGCGCTTTTTTTAGCGATATAAGTCTATAAGCAACAAACTCCTTACTGCTGAATAATCAACGTTAAAGTGTTTCTCAGTAATAGTGTTTGGTAACCGATCTCAGTAAAACTTAATATTTTTTAATGTACTTTATCCACGTGGATGTATTGAGGAACCAGTTCCGTAAATGCATGCGTCCATTTCGTGCGAATCGACTTTTAATCTTAGCAATATAGAACTCAGTTTAAAATAATATAAGCCTCCACTGATGCTTAAAACTGTAAATTACCTTTTACGCTTTTCAGTTTTAAGTAATGGGGACCTCATTTTTGTATGTTCATATGTTTGTTTATCTGATAAAGAAAAAAAATAGCAGAACTGTGTATTAGTCTCCTAATATGGCACAGAGCATTCACTTCCTCGTGTATATGTATAATTAACATGGCCATAAATAGGCAGAAAACAAAACCGTGACATGGACACGGTTATTCTGAAGGTGGTAATTGGTCTGGGTCCGACATAGAATTTTAGATAGATCTAAGTGGGTTCTCACCTTTTGATATCTACAAAATCAAAAAGCTTTGCTTCATAAAATCAAGACAAAAAAGCATATAAATTTAACTGGAACTTTCGCAATTATAGATTTCTGGAAAGATTCAACTGCAAAGTGTCAAGTTCTAACGATGCGCATAAAAACATTGTATCTTTAGACCTGTTGATTGAAACACAGTGTCACTCTAATATTGCCTAACAAACCCTTTGTTATATATTCTTAATATGTCTTTCAGAATGTTTCATTTTAACTTAGATTTTGTTGTTGTATTTTCAATCTTCTTTTTGTAAAAAAGAAAATCACGAAGCACACAGGTATGAAAATTAATGGTCACAAAAAAATGCCTTCTTTCCACCACGTAAACAACATGTTGATGTTCGAATAATTGTTCCGTCAGATACTGCGTGATTTCTTTTTGTGGAAAACAAATCGAAAGCTTAAGGTTGAATATGTCGGCTTATACAGCAAAGTGGGTGTTCCCTCTTAATCAATAGTTTGCAGTTATTTGATGTACTTGAGGCAAACATGTATACTGTCGAAACACGAATATGTTCATGAAGGTTTCAGCTAGGTTTAAACTATACAATTGTCACTCAAGGTTTTGTAAAATGAACCGAATGCAGCTGATTTGAATACGTGTTTAATTATCCGTACATACTAACACAAGGACAAAACTCTTATCTCATTAGTAATTAGATTCTACACTATAAAAGTGTGAAAGTACAACTTGAACAATTAGCAACGTGCCCCATAGGACCCATTCACTACTGGGCCTTACACTGAGGTATTTGTATTGGGAAACATAGGACCCATTCACTACTGGGCATTACACTAAAGTATTTGTATTGGGAAACATAGGACCCTTTCACTACTGGGCCATACAATGAGGTATTTGTATTGGGAAACATATGACTCATTCACTACTGGGCCTTACTCTGAGATATTTGTATTGGGAAACACAAAGTTTGTAGAATGGACATTCGGAGCCAACAACGTCCCTATATATGACGTGGAGTGTTGGAAATTCAACTTCTTCATTGTTTCGTCAATATCAAGTTGGTTAATCTAAAACTTTTGTTGATACAGTTATGCTGCAAGAACCTGCGTCAAGATGAGGGCCACAAACCATCTAATTTTAGCAAGTCAACTCTTCCAATATCTTATCTAAATAAATTAGTATGGCAAATTTTGTTCAAAATTCAGCAATCCTTGGTTACGTAATGCTGCGGAAGCCAACGACAAACAATCAGGAGAACATAGGCTGTGTAAACCGTGCTTTGGAAAACAAGAACTCAAACTAATTCCAAGTCTTATTAATATAAAGGTGCATGTTATAGTTAGCTTTTAATAAGTAAAGTCATGATGACAATGCTAAATTTATGACGATTAAATTCATGGAGCATTACTCCTCTAGTCGGAGTGTTAGAAATCGAACTCTCTCGAGATCTTATCAATATAAATATGAATGTCAGGTTTTTTTAATTAAACAGTTTTTGGAAAAATAATTTTGTAGAAGCCAATGTTAGGAAGACGGGGAACTAATGAGTAAATACCATGCAAATGATGTCATTGAATTTTGAGAAGTAAACTCTCCTCAAGATTTCCACATCATTCAGCTGCATTCATTATTATGTTGAAATCCAACAATCCTTGATAAAATTTTGCTGCGAAAATCAAAATCAGGAGGACAGGCATCTGGATCTTGTAACTTTTATAAATGATATCCTGCAATGCAAGAAATCAAACCTATTCGAGATATCATAAATGCAGAGTCAAAATTAAATTTGGGTAAAATCCAGCAAACCTTGGTATATTTATATCGTGGATCTCAGATATGGGTCTCATGCATATGAATAGTATCATAGATTGGTCGCAATAGAGTTTTCAAGTTCTCATATGCACATAGCTGGATAGGAAGTTTATATCAAATCTAACAATACATTACAAAGTTAAGCTGCAAAAACTAAATTTAGGATATCAGCAACTCAAGGTTATAAGTCTTCTAAGTTTGAATAGAAAGCTTAAAATGAACACCATTGGTGGTTTGTCTTCAACAAAGTTGTGCACAAATGTTGAATCCAGCATTTTCCAATAGTCATCTCAATGAAACCTGATTTTAAACAGACGAAGAGAAAGACGGACAGACAACGTGATTACTATAGGTTGCAGACGACTTCGTCTTGCCGATCCCCATAAAAAAAACCTGAAGCGTTCTCTCATAAGAATTCATAATTTCAAGTTGAAATGATCGGGTAGTGCCATCGTATAATCAACTAATATTGCACAGTGCCACAATAACGTGCTTTATCTAAGTTTTCAATGCGTTTTGAAATCCGAGAACCAAAAGAAATTTGTCTTTAATGTCTTTAATTAATTTGAAATAACGTGATCCTGTATTAGGACATCAACAACGAAAAGAAGTGTGAATTGATTGAATACAAACATACTGACTCAAGCTAAAGAGGAAGGATAAAACCTGTGAGTGATTCAAACTTACTATTCTAAAGAAAATATAAAATAAATATTCAATCAATGGTAGAATTGTATAATAAACTATTCGTCCATATTCATTTCACGATCGTCGTTTGAGATAAAGTACACTTTTAAAATTAACAACATAATATAGTTCCTAATTTAATTTAAATTCTTAATACATTTGTGTCAAATTGAAGAATTCCATACACTTCAAGTTAGAAATTGTTTCATCATGATCTCTGTAATGGAAATCTTAGCAAAATAAACTTTATGTCGAATAAATAAAACGTCAATATCTTTAATTTTACAGGATAGGTATTTTTACTACATTGTTTATATCGTTACGAAAGATAGACGAAAGAACAATTTTGAGATCTTTGAATCTTGTACAGTTTTAACGTAAGATTGTTGTTCTGTATTAAGCTACAAGGAGATATGATGCAAAACTAAACAGCTTATGAAAATGAGATTCTTTTAAATGGATGACTCAAAGCGTTTTATATCACTTTTAATTGTGATTTGGCTTAGATGGAATTTCAATGGCTTGTTATTTCCTTAACAAGCTTGATACTAAATGACACAATTCATGCATTAGATTTACAGATGATATGAAAAGTTCTTTCCTTGTGTTTAATTAAATTATTTATGAGCTGTGGTACAGGTGGGTTAGATCTAGAGATCCAATATAATTGCTGCAAGAGGCGAACGTATTTGCAATGAGATTGACAATTTCTTTATACAAATTGATCGTTGTTTGTATGTTATTAATAAAATGTTGGATATATAAAGATTTAGAATAGTAAATATCTTAACTCTAAAAACCTTCCCTATTAATTTTATATTTTGATCACTGAAGGATAGATGTAAACAAACGGTTTACGATTTTTTTATTACTCAGTATTTCTTTAGCACGTAACATACCGTCACAAAGAATTTAATGTCACATTTACCAATAATTTAGCCGTTGCGTCCTTTACCTATGGTGCAAAAGGAGATATAAAATGGTGAATGTACGTTTTAAAACAAGTGAAGTAATTAACATAATTACTCATAAAGCATTGTTATAAAAAGGTGAACATTTAATCTTTTAAATTTTCCTCCAAATGTTGTTTTTTAGAATTTGGTAAAAGTATTTGACACATTTCTTGTGTTCTGAAGTGAGAATGGGAAAGTATAATGTTATATATTTATGTACATTTTACAGCTTATTACTGTTTTGTCATATTTAGAATCTTATGGGTGCTTCACGTAGAGAATATGAGTGAGTGTGTATGTGTGTGTGTCTGTGTGTGTGTGTGATTTCGATTTTTAACGTGGCTTTAACAATTGATCAGTCATATCGCTATGATGTCTGCAGTATGGCAGTTTATAGTGATGTAATACACTGGGACATCATACCTCAGACAAGTGGCATCATGTTCCACGCAGTCACATTATTCTGAAAACAGGCTGACTAGTCCTAACATAAGCCTCTTAATGATGATCGCCAAGCGATGCAGCTGCTAGTACCATTTTTATGTCTTTGGTATGACTCGGTCGGAGTTCGAACCCGCGACATCCCGCATCTGAGGCAGACGCTCTAACCACTTTGTCTGGAGCTGTTCACAGAAACAAAGCATATGAGCAAATAAAGGACACCGATTTATTGTATCGAAATCGTTTTCTTTTTTTAGTAAAATGAAGAATGTCATTACATGACACCTTTTAATCATAAAAAGAAATAAATTCGGACCGAATTCAAATACACTATTTCAGTCACGAGGTTAAGAAACAAGCCAGAAAAGCACATATATAATTGATTCGGAAAAGTGAATAAGAATACTCTAAATATTCAAGAAAGAAAAGCATCGTTTTGATAGCCATTGCTAATTTACATCCCAAATGTCCTTGCTGTGAAAGGATGACTGAATTTAGTGTTTAAAAGCCAAACCAGGTTGCTGGTTATTTAATGTCGACTATGTTATGTTTAAAGTTTAAATTATTAGTCATATTGAGAGAGGATTTATATTATAAATTCAAACCAGGTATAATAAACGAATAAGCAAGAAATCCCAAAGCTGACACATCAAGTGGAGACTGATAACTGGGATACAAGTGTTTCTAATAACGGAGGTCTGTTACCAGGGTCCAGTTAGAACAAGTGAAGTTTTATCATGTTTCAGTTTAAACAAATGAATTGTTACCAGGTTCTAATTAAAGCAAGTAAAATATAACAATAAATTAATCATTAAAAGCAAAAAGAAATATTTTGCTTATCTTATTATGATCACGTAGGTGTAGCAATTCATAAGAGGAATCTTATTTGATTTGTAGATGATGTCAAAATTTAGTTGTGCAATCATAAACAACATATTTATATATCAGATATTTTGTTTACCTACTGTGCATAATTTAGAATCTAAGAAACAGTCGTCACAAGTATTTTGTTTCTGTGGGAAGTATGATTCATGCATTTGTTGAAGGTCTATGCATTAGAGACGTAGATGTCTGTAAACAAATGTGTCGCTGTTAATATATTTACCTAAGAAAAATGCTTGAGTTGTTTAAAGTTTGAAGAGGTTTCCAGCCCTATATAAAGCAATATTCGAGCAAGGCTACTCAATTCAGATTTCACGCATCAGAGCGATTGCTTGTTCAGACTTTTATATCTTGGAAAAAGCCTTGGAGAGTCTATGACTGGAGTTATAATTTAATGTCTCCTTCAGAACAGAAGAAGTACAAGACTGTTATAGTAAATCAGTCTCAGATTTTACTGCGAAGAATCCGAAACTTATTAATTAAATTGTTCTCTGTTGTAAAACACTGAAATAGAACATTGACTGTATAGTCATTGAATAATCAGATCTCATTAATCGAGACCACTGTTAAGGAGATAAACACGTATTTGGTCACCTCTCAGGCAGCACGGCCACAATATCGTAACTGATTAACCTTTTTTTACAAACGATTCGAATGATATTGAAACAGTAGATATGTCAGACGCGAATTTTTGCAAACATTGTTCTCCGATATCATCTCATATAAAAACAAAATTGATACAGCCCGTGAAAACTGTCAAACATGGAGACGTTATCACGGTTTACACTCAACATGACACGAGTCGAAAAAGTAGTAATAATATCTCAGAGGGATTTACAGATGTATCATCTAGTAGCCAGACAATGATAAGTGTTCTTGGTTATGTGCCAGAATGGACCGTTCAGGCATTTATCACAGGGAAGGAACAGGAGGAAGTTTCATTCAACCTGATGCAGCGGAGGAAATCTCTGCCAAAAGGGTCGGAAAATTTGCAATTCTTGTTGAATGAGTTCAGAAAAAATTCGAAGGAGGGAGAAAAAGATGTTATATCCGTGAACGACTTAAACGGTCAAAAGCCGAGAAAGGAGAAGAATGACTTGTATGTGTCTTGCAAACGATTTCCTTTAGTCTGTACAAACAGAAAAGTTGGATTACATCATTGTGTTCACAATCATTAATTTTAGCTCATTTATTCTAGCACATATTTTTATTTTACCTGTTTTACTCTTTGCACAATCACTTTTCTTAGGCCATAATATTGCACCGTCTTGTTATGAGCAGAGTGCATTGTGAGTCATGATTCTTTGTTATTGAGAGATCTCAAAGAATAAAACAGAACACTATTTTCATTAATTTTTATTTTTATTTTTATTTTGAATACTGACAAATATTTCGAGGCAGATCAATATGGATTTTCAATAAATATTATCTTCTTTAACAATTTTTCTAATTTCGTTCTAAGGCAACATAGCATACTTTGATTCTAGTGATTATCAAATAAACTACTTTCTTTACCAAGATTAGTGAGTTTCACATGTCTGGATCGGAATGTTCCGGGGTTTCCGGAATCCCTCATGCTAAAAAGAAACCCACATGTTACACACACACACACACACACAAAACAAACATTCGGTCACTTATCACTTAAAATTTGACCATCATTTACTTCTTGTGCACAATAATTGGGTATTAATTGTACTTTGAGTAAACAGACACATAGACTTTTGCTTTGGTGCATGTTCGAGAAAAATAGTGGCCCTTTTGAACTTTTGGAAACCTCCCCAATCAACACCTTATCTGATCTGGTCCTAGTTTCCACCATCTGGTTTAGAAGAAGATAGAAGTACCAACAGAAAGACGAATTGACAAGTACTGAGGGAAGAGAAAAAAAACAGAATATTGCAAAATATTTCAAAAATAGAATAAAATGGATATAATATGTTTGATTATGGTTGTTTATAAGAGTGGAACAGCATGTGTATACCTTCTAATCCCAGATCATCTCCATTTCTATAATATCGAATCAAACGTACATCTTGTTAAGAAATTATGATTATTATATTAATTATTATATAATGTGGGTTTTCTTCTTCAGATTATGGCGTATAAATTATATCTCTCAGAGTATGTAGGGCATGATACAATTTTAAATACTAGTCCAGGAAAATATTTAATAACTTGGAGTATCATGCATTTGCAAATAGTCCAGGATAATATTTGCAAACACCGCTTCTTATTTGTCAGTATGTCATGAGCAAAGTCCATTTAAATTAGGGACGGTTTGTTATTAATATGTCAAGAGCAAAGTCCATTTAAATTAGGGACGGTTTCTTATTAATATGTCATGAGCAAAGTCCATTAAAAGATTAAGGAGCGTTTTTTATCAATGTCATTAGCAAAGTACATGCAAATGAGGGAGGTTTTCTTGCCAATATCTCATAAACAAAGTCCATTCAGATTAGGAAGGGTTTCTTGTCAATTTGTCGTGAGTAAAGCCCATTTAAAACTTAGGGAGGTTTTTTTAATTAATATGTCATGAGAAAAGTACATATAAATTAGGGAGGGTTTCTTGTCAATTTGTCATGAGCGAAGTCCATTACAAACTTAGGGATGGATTTTTTAAAATTAATATGCCATGAGCAAAGTACATATAAATTAGGGAGGGTTTTTTGTGAATTAGTCATGGGAAAAGTACATACAAATTAGTGAGGGTTTCTTGTCAATTTCTTATAAGCAAAGTATATACAAATTAAAGAGGGTTTCTTGTCATTTGTGTCATGAGCAAAGACCATTTAAAATTTAAGGAGGATTTCCTATTAATATGTCGTGAGCAAAGTACATACAAATTAGGGAGGGTTTCTGGTCAATTTATCATGAGCACATAGATATTAGGGAAGGTTTCTTGTCAATTTGTCATGAGCAAAGTACATATAAATTAAGGAGGGTTTCTTGTCCATAGGTAATGAGTAAAGTACCTACAAATTAGGGAGGGTTTCTTGAACATGTATGTTAATATTATGATCTAGATTGTCATAATTTATTGAAACGTAAAAATCGCTTAAAATCACAGAAAAATGCAAAAGTTGCCAAAGATTACTTATAAACTTTAGATTTGGGTTCATACTACAATGATGTTTTATATTGCTTTAGTAAAATGAGCCCTCGGTGCCTCTTGAGGTGTTACTACTCGATGTTCTGAAACTTTGTAACAGATAGAAGCGAGACCAAAAAGTTTATTGAATTCAACAAACAATTTACTTCTCTAGAATAAAAAATAAAAATTTAAAATGAATTTAAGTTATTGTGAGTTAAATAGTAAATAGTCCTAAATGTTTTACAGCAAGTTTAAATGTATAGAATATTACGAATGAATTCTAATAGCCTAGAATGTTTTGATATACCAACAGCCACAATGTACTACAATGATATAATCCAGAACGTATTTGAATTAGTATTCTCTTCTTTGACACGATGTCCATCATCCTCATTTATCCCTTAAACCTAAGAGGTCGTTGGGGCACCACATTTGACTTTGCAACCAATTCTCTCCATCTTACCCTGTCCTCTACTGAGCTCCACTCCTTAATCTTGTCTTCCCAACTCTTTTTCTGTCTGACTCTTCTTCTGAATCCTCGCACAGTGCCTTGCAAGATTGTTTTTGCCAGTCCAGCTGATCTTGAGATATGGCCGTACCAATTCAGTTTGCATTTCTTAGGTTGGTCAAGAGGTCTTCATAGGATCCGATGACTTGTTGGATCCTGTTGTGGACTTCTTCGTTAGATGTTAGAACAATTAATAAGTGCAGAAAGAAGTTGAGTGAAAGAATGAAGCAAATAAAAAAGCAATGTAAGACAACATACATTATGCATGCATTTTTAAAGTGACGTGCATAAAAAGACAAGTAGAAACATAAGGAAACATAAGGCGAACAATAACTAAACGAAACGAAATAGGATCATATGAAATAAAGGCATAAAGCGGTCAAGGGTAACTTTGTAGACATCAAAATTAGACAAAAAATAATGAAATGGTTCATAATACACCATTATATAATGTACTAGATTATTTCGTTTTAAAACGCAATCTTGGCATTTGTAATGAATATACCTACATGCATCCCTTAACAGGACTTTATTCGTTTTTAAAGTTGGCGGTTTGCTCTTCGTCTTTTTTCATGGGTTTCAGGTGAGAAGTAAGTGGCAATTTCTCAAATTTGTTTTAAAGATATTTTCAAATCTCAACGGCAATGACAGATGTGAAAACTGAAAAAGCAGGTTAAGTCCCTCTGTGAATCAAATTCAATAATATATCGTTT